GAGGAGCGGATCCCGGAGACGAGCGAGTGTGGGAGCTCGCCGGGGAAATGTGTCGGGCTGTGGAGGTGTTGGAAGGAGGGGAGTGCGGTGGGTGAGGGGGGCTGGGAACGCTCAGGTGGGACGATGGAGGCCGTCTTTCACGGCGCTGGGGTCCGCGCCTATGGCGGCGGCTCTGCAAGAAGTGTGTGGGCCGGCGGGCACTCGGCACCGAGCAGGCTCTGCTTCCGCCGACTGCCGCAATCGAAAGTCCAAGGATCCCGCTCCCGATCCCCGGCGCTGTGCCTCCCGGGGCCGGAGACCCAAAGGACTTTTGGACGCTTGAGCGGCGGGTGGAGCATCCTCCACCACCCGGGGCGCAGCTTTTTGTTTTTGTTTAAACCGTGCATTTTTTCTGGCAGACTCTCCCCGGACTGCATCTCCAGGACCAAGACAATGAGAACACCGGGTCGGAATGACTGTTCCGACGAGGGACGGGGCAGCCTCTAGTGACCACTAGTGACCAAAGGGTAGCGCTCGGAGAGTCCCACCCCCTCCCCACCGGGCTAGCGCCAAAACCCGGAGACTAGAGTGCAACCCGGGCCGTCCGTGGCGGCGGCGCCCGCTGCTAGTCAGGGCATGCTCAGTGGGCAGAGCCGGTTTTCGGGCTTAGAAGCAGGAAGCCTTTGCACCGCACACCCACACTCCAGCTCGAATTACCTCTCCCAGACTCCCGGCCCATTGGTCCCGGGCGCCAATCTCACACCTCACGTGCGCTCCCATTGGCCACCGCCAAGGTTTTGTCAGTTTGGGCCGCTTCATTGGCTGAAAAGTAACCTCCGCCCGTGATTGGTTTTGCATGGAGCTGGAGTTCGGAGGCGGAGGCACAGCTGTTCTTTCGGGGCTGCTCCTCCTCCGCCCCTCCCTCCCACTTCCCCCAGCTAGTCGTTTTGCAGCTAAGAGTGCGAGAAATAAGAGGAATTTAGGCGGAGAGCTCAGAGCTAAATATAGCCCTTGGTTGGTGTTTTCCAGAGAGCGTGACTTCTCGGTGCCCAGTCACGACTGTCCTTTACAGGGAGCAGAAAGGGCTGGTCACAGTGCTCGGTCCACAAGCATCAGCAAACTTTCCAAGTTCTTTGGCAGCAGGAGGAGGGCGGCTAGGCTGTGGAAAGGGGCCACTGTGGATTCTTCCCACACGGAGGAGTGGGGGACGCCCAGGCTTGCCCTTAGAAGACGTCTTCGCTTTGGGCGGGCAGTCGCCAGACTTGGCTCGGCTCACCCTCCGGGGAGGTGCCAGGGAACTGCCTGGACTTGCCTCTGGGTCTCCCTCTTTCCTGGCGAAGGAGATGTCAAGACCTGTCAGGAGGCTTAGGGAGTTAGCGTGCGCTCCCAGGCGAGTGGGATGGGAGGGGACCGAGCTGCGTCAACACTGGCGCCGGGTCCTGCCTTTAAAAAAAAAAAAAAATCCCAGGCCGCTTGCACTGGCTTAACTGCGCGCATCATCAGGGATGAGCCAAGCGGTGTGCTGCGTGCTCACACGGTTTCAGTTCCTGAGCCCCGCCGTGACTCACGGCCACATTTGCGAGTTAACCTTCTCCGAAGCCCTGGCTGTAGCTCGTACCGTGCGTGTCTGCAGCCCCAAGTCCTTGGCCACGGGACCTGCGGCGGGACCTGGGCGGCAGCCCACGCCTTGGATGCGGGTGGGTGGTGCCCAGCTCCCGCGCCTGGCCGGGGAGAGAGGGGTTGAACCTTGATGATCAGAGTGCCTGGATATCGTTATGTTTATGTAATTCTCCAGATAAACCTTTCGGAGGGAGGCAAGTTCACCTAATGCAGTTGGGGAGAACCTCACAACATTTATCCAGCGTTTAATGTCTGCGAAGCCTTTCTACACGCCATCTCTTACTCCTGGTAACAATGATCTGCTTTAAAATGATGAAACGGAAGCCCTAAGATGTTCAGTAACTTGCTTGAGATTTCACAGGTGGTGAGTAGCCACCCTAGGGTCGCAGGTGTTTTGGCTGCTTGTAACCAATCGTCCATACTGCCTTTACACAAGAAAGTTCCCGGGTTTTTACTCTTAGGCTGAATCTTGAGGCCTTGTAATCAGACTGGCTCTTAAACCCAAGCAACAGGGACCTCTGCCCACTGCCACGGTCTGCTCTCCTCTGACGGTGCCCTTTCCCACAGCTCCAAGAGCCAGACCTCTCCTCTAGACCATTCATTCTCCGGGACTCAGGGGTGCAAAACCTTTTGTCGGCCAAGGGCCTTTTGTGGGCCATACAAAATTATCAACTTAAAAATTAGCCTGCTATACGTATATGGTCAAACATTTAATGAACTCACATCTAATGCCTTGGCAGGGCCGGGCCAAATGATTTCGAGGGCCTTCTGGGCCCCACCCCTGCTCCAGGTCGTCGGAATTCTGAAATCCCCTACCTAAGTAGCACCAAAGCCTCTCTCAGGATCTGCCTGGGCCTCTGACCCCACCCTGTGCCCAGAAATGGGTCTTGGTTGGAGTGTGCACAGTGCTTGGACCCCTGAGCCCTTCCTGCAACTTTGGGCCCCTCCTTAGGGCAGGAAGAGGGGTCCGTGGGAGTCAGCTCGCTCTTCCCTGTGACCTTGCAGCCTGTCCCTGGGAAGAGTCCAAGCATTCATAGTTCACACCTGGCCGCGCAGGTCCTTGGGAAGAGGTATTTGTCAAGGTGGGAGGGTCATATTTTATCAGTTTGTTATCTCGATGTATAACAAATACTCAGACTAAGGCTATGTAGGCCTCTATTTGTCTTCTTGCACACAAATGTGAGGTGTGGTTCTGAGTACCACACTGTAGAAAATGTTTTGTCCTCATAAGCCTGGTGGCTAATCTCCAGTGTTGGAGAGCAGTTATTATCTGAGCCCTTGGGCAGGCTCCCCAGGCTCTCCTGACCTTAGGTTCCCTCGCTATAAAATGGTGATAATAAAATGTGCCCTGCCCTCCTCGCTACCCAAGGAACCTGGGGGAGAATCTGGCGACCAACCCCCTCATTTTACATCAGAGAGGGCTGAGCAGAATTAGAACCCTGGTGTCCTGGCTGCCCTTTTCCTGGTGCCAGCCTGTTCCTCGGGGGTAATAATTAACAGATACTGGGTGGAAACATGTTTTTAAAGCGGCAGCACCTCATAAATGCATGACAATTATCCAGACTCAGGGAGGCTGACAACCCCGTCTATAAGATCCTCGGGATTCTGGGTGTTATTGAATCTTGGTGGCCTCACCGGAACCAGAAAGATGCCACAGTTTGGATATTTTCTATTAGCAGTGGTGGGGCTATCTTTGTGATGGGGTGGGGCCACAACATTAGTAACAAAGAAACAGAATTTCCGGAGGATGAGGCCCAGAAATCAGAATTTTAAAAAGATTCCCAGGTGATTCTAATGTGCAGCCAAGGTTGAAAACCACTGTATTAGGGACTTCTCAGCTGCTAATTGTATTACAATCCGAGGGTCTCCCTCAGGGAGATTTGCACTGGGGCTTTGTGATTCAAAACGAAGTAATAAAATTGCTGATGCGGACATTTTTAAGGTTGCTCACTTCCTCTTATGAAATCTGTTAGGAGTCTTTATTTACCTCGCTTAGAGGTTATTATATACCTGTACCATAATTATTTACAAGTCTGTGTCTTGTCACTCAGTATCACATGAATTCCTTGAGGGCAGGGTCCATATCAGGCTTATCTTTGGAGCCACCTTTTTGCCTCACAACATATAATGCAGTGCCTACATAGGAAGCCCTCAATAAATATTTACTGCATATATGAATGGCATTTTCTTCCTTTTCCAAACTCTTTGTAGTAAAAGATTTTATTGTTTTGCTGAAATATAACATTTCCTGGAAACAGAAAAATACATCCGAATGTTTCAGTCTCCCTGAGTTATTATAAAGATTCTGGGTGACCAACGTCTACCTTTATTTCGGTGGAAACACTAAATTGGTGCTATCTTGGGGGAAAGATACCAAAGTGTCCAATGGATAAACCCTTTCTCTGAAGATTTAACATCTGCTGATAATATGAAAACATTGAAAGTAAAAGCTACCAGGTAAGGACAGCTTAACCTTTGGTACTGACTGTTCCATCAGGGCGGGTCGTGTCCCTGGCTTTTGCTCACACAGTGGGACTGCTGAGGTTTCATGACACGTGGGTTGGGCCTTCAATGAATTAGCATGTTTGTTAGAACATAAATCTTTGAAGTCTTCAAGAAAATAAGTACCACTTGTCCACTTCATGTATACAAAGTAGCAAGTTTATTATTTTTGTCGTTTTAGCTGGTGCCACCTATAGGTAAACAAATAATTCGGAACAAATACTAATTTTGAAAACACCAAGGATAAGTTGATAGTGATCATGCATTACTCTTTTAAAGGGAAGTGTGAGT